AGTGAACATCTGAACAACATTCAACTGTCTGTACAGCTGTGTGTGTGTGTGTGTGTGTGTGTGTGTGTTGTGTGTGTTTTGTGGGAGGGGGTTAGGGAGTGGAGGGGCTGCAGAGCAAGGTACAGCTACTTTTATGCACTTGTTGTGAGCCATTTTGGAATGAGAGGGTCTGCGAAACGCCTAAAATGTAAAGGGCCTGGCAGTTGTCGGGGAGCGAGAGATAGAGGGGAGGGGGCAGGGGAGGGGAGGTCAGAGGGGCCGAGGGGGAGGAGAGCCCAGGGAGCCTCCTGGAGAGTCTACTTGGAAGGGGAGGAGAAAGAGGGAGGTGAAAGGGCGTGTGCAGCAGCAGGTGGCAGAAAACATGAGTTTAGTTTGTCAGAAGATATGTCACCCAGCCAGCTGAAGGAGAGACAGACACACGGAGAGTATTTTTTTAGTGTTTTCTAGAAGTGCAAAAATTTTTAACTTTAACATTTAAAAAAAAAAAATTTAACTAACAGTTCCAGTCACATGTCAGTATTTTATCCAGTAAAATAAAAGGGAGAGAAGTGAACAAGTAGATAGTTTTTTGAGTAACAGCATGCTCAGTCATCATGGTACAATTGGCTGCCTACCTTGCTACCTTACATTTTTTTTATTTCAGTCAACTCTCACTCTCATGAGAGCGCAGAGGGTGAGAGTGTCAGAGACAGTAAGAATAGCACAAGCCTCGGCATTCAATCGCTGGAACCAATACACTCGCTGTACATGAGTGTCCTACCTTTTTAAGTGTGGCTCAACAACTGAGGCTCCTGTGCTGCATGTAGATTTTTTTTAAGTTAGACCTTCTAAACAGACTTGATGGACATTTTAATTAGTTCCTCAGGTGTTACAGTGAAGAAAGTCTGAGGATACTGATACTACTGATACTGAGGATATATATGTATATAAATGAACAGGTAAAAGTGTTTAGGTTAATATTATTTTTTAAGTTTTTCTTAAAACAACAATCAGGTGTCTAAGCGTAGATTGAAATGTTTTTTTTGTTTTAGGACAGACTTGTAAAAATTTAAATGTATCCTAGTAAGTACTGCAAATTGTGTGATTTGTTCCACTGAAGTTTCAGGACACATTTACTGTTTAGTCTCATTTTGTTAGTGATGTGCTGCACAGATCCGTTCCCTTTCTGACTGACTTCTTACCTTCTAACTCTGCTTTCTAAAGAGGATAAACAAGACACAGTGGAGGGAGAGGCGTTAGACAGCATGCCTCTTGGCCACTACCGTCCAGAGACAATCCAAACATCACCTAAAAAAAAAAAGTTTTAATTTAATTTGTGGTAGCAGAAGGTGTGTGGTTTCATGGCTGACAAGAAATGGGCTGTGGTTCACTACAGAGAGGCAGTACTGGGAGCATGAGCCCTGATCAGTGAGACTGTCTCTTTTTCCTGGAAAACATAAGATGCTATCGTGCCTGTGAAGCCCACTTTGTTTTAGAGTGGTGGGATGTCTCATATTAATGGTCAGTTTTTCCTAAAATAAGGTTAAATCTGCTTTATAAGGTCAATGACTCTCTCCCTGAGTAAAACCTCTGCATGGTACCCGGACAGCCATAGAGGTGTGGCATGGTTGAGCTTAACCAAATGCAGCATGAACTTAATTCTTTCTATTTTTCTTTCCTATCTTCTGAACAAATAAGGCTTTGTTGGATGTTTTTAATGTGATAAGAAAACAGATTATTCATATGATTTTGTTGTGTAAGGCCAAAAAGGGTAAGAACCTGAGTTCCACTAGTTCCTCAAATAGCCCGGGGGAAGATACAGAGAAAAGCGAGGGGAGCCGCAGCACATGGAGTTGGAATTGGAAACCCATGCCGGTCTGTGCGGCACCTGGTCAGCTGCATGAGCCAGCTGAGCCGTCCTCTGCAGAACAGGAGCACAACTGCTGCCTCTACTGGAGGGGCTCACCCACTGCTTGGTTATAGCACAAACATTAAGAGTCTTAAAACTTCTCTCTACGATAAACCAGGCCAAGAATGAGCATCCATGAATGTGTCTAAAATATTCCTGTTTTATGTCACTGGTATTTTACAGCATGGCTTTGCCTCTTGTGCCTGTACTGTTTTGTAATCACTTTTCTATCACATCAAACATACAGCTGAACATGATTTTAAACATCTAAACTGGTCGATGTGTACTTGTTTAAGTTGATAGACTCTTTAACTACCCCACAAGTGCAACACACTCTTACAAAAGGAGGATAAATCAATGGATTGCATTCATTTGCTGTTTTGCCGGGCCCGTCTATGTGCCAACAGATGGGACAATGTGTCTATTTACATGAGGAGCTCACCGCACTGTCAACACAACCTACCGACAGCTGAATACACATTACTCATATCATTACCATGAAGTTTTATTTAGATATGATGGATGAACATTGATCCCACCGACCTGAACAAGCCTGAGCCTGGCTGTAGCTCAGTGTGAAGCAACAGCGCCACCTACTGATAGACTGACACACTGCATGGAAACACAGTTACTTATGAGACAGTTTGTTCAGTAAAAAAAAACCCAGTTTGTTAGTGAATATTTTATGAAAATGTTAAGTTGAATGAGCAAATGTGAAGCTATGAACTATAATCTACAGTGATAGAGCCAGAGATGGTGTGTGTGAGCGTGTCTCCTCTTCCCATCATCTTTAGTGTCTCTGTAGGGGAATAGTGATATAAAAGGTGGACGTATAACCAGTCGTTATAGATACAATAAAATTGACACCACCCCTTGAAACAATGTAATAAAAATGTCATCTGAATTAATAAAAAGCAAACAAACCAGAAGAAAATCTCATTTTTAAAGACATTTAAATACATTTTAATTTAATATTGGTGTATCATGTGACTAAACAGACCAAGCAAAAGGGGACAAAACAGCATTACAACAAAACCCACAAATAAAAACGATCAGTATTTCACTTTATTTACCTTTACATAGATGTACAATAATTTAGCAACCACAAAAATAATTAAAAATCTATAAAACATCATTTTGGTCCTATTATTTATAACTCATAACATACAAGTTAAAAAAGAAACCCCCAGCAGTCTTCTGTGTGTTGTTATAAAACGTGGATCCATTATTAACTGACAAACTCTCAAACTACTTCAGTGTTTATTTTAGCGAGTGAGTGGTGAGGTGATTTTGCAAACATGAAAGCTTTCGGTTTAATTTTAATGGGCAAGGTTTGGTAATATTACCAACTGACTTCCACAGGAACCACAAAAAACGTCTGAACATGTGACGTTCAGGGACGATGTTCAAGGTATCATTTACTTTAAAAAGAAGACTAACAAGTGGTGCGGAAATTAAAAACATGTAGGCAGAAATATCTATAATTAAAGAAAAAAGAATCATCACTATCATGAAAACGCTCAATAAATCATCTCGTAATGATCATCTCAAATTCTGCTTTGTCTGTAATCAAAGATTACTATCATACACACAGACAGCGTTAGTTGGCTATTTAGATGACCATTTACCAATGACTAATATTGTATAATTTATGCTGACAGTCCTTTGTTTAAATATTATCAAGACTTATTAATTTCTGTTATGTTATATATTTTTATATATAAAATATTATAAGAAGCTATATCCACTATATGCATTAATATAATTAAGTCTCAGTGTTGTGGAGACTTAAATAATGTGATAATCTGTAAATATCTGTATACATCCTGTACTGTAGATCAGTGTTACTCTTGCTTAGAACTCAGACACCTGCTAAATGTCTGACCCATGACAAACATTATACAGCCTCAATTTGATTTGTTGTTCATTAAGCCTGTTTAACCATAAATAAAGTGATTCCTTGTTGTTGAATGATCTGTTAAATGCACTTTAAGTAGCACCCAGTCAAAATGGTTCCCAGCTACGTTGCACCGATCAGAGCCCAATTAACTATCCTTAACTCATTTTCCAATTACAAACTGAGGGATTTCCACAGATGTTGATGTTGTTTAGTTGTTTGTCACAAGAAATACTAGAAACAAAAAACCGTCCCTTTAGGTCTGTGGGGAATTCAAGTGGAGTACATTTGCATGTCTGGCTTTACACTCAAGTCTAGACTCCCTGTGAGCAGTGAAGTGGGCATTCACCATCTAAATATTTACTGAGGCGAATCATTACCTCTCAGTCAGGAGAGATATTATATTTGGCCGCCTCAACAGCGCTGTGGTTAACATGCACGTGGTCTTAGAGCTGTTTAAATAGAGTTTAAGGTTGGCCAAGTGCATATCCTGTAAACACCTCCCAGTGCACACAGCATGGAGGGGACAGCCATGACACAGATGTTCACTCAGTGTTCATAATGTTGGCTTCAGTTTTTTCACCATTTGTAGATTAAAACAAGAAAGATAAAAGATTACATTCTGATTGGCACTGTGCAACAAGGTAAAAAAAATATGAAAGAATTAGGGATTTTAGACAATGAGATGATTGTTAAGAGAGGGGTGATGGTCGTGACGCAGACCACCCTTCCTACCCGAGAGCAGCAGAACATCAGCCAGAAAAGAGGCTGTTTAGCAGGCTTCAATCGACTTTCACAAGTAAAACTTTTATTTTGTTTGACATATAAAGATGTTAAAGTTTTGCAGTTTCAGGGCTGTTAATTAATCCAAAGCAAGAAAAAAAAAAAAAAATAGTGAACTGAAATTATGTTTTTAGATGTGTAGCACCTCAGCTGTGACTTGGAGGACAATCACTACTATGTTTCATGACAAATGTGCTTACATAAATCTATGTCCTTTACATATGTCAGGATAGTGTTCAGTCCCGTTTTACAACACAGTGCAGTCAACACAAATAGCTGCTTCGTTCGGCTTGTTTCAAAATTCCTGTAAAAGATTCTGCAGGTCAATCTTCAAGTTTAAAAACTCAATAATAAATAGACACAAATGAATAAACAAATACATATTTAGTATTTTTGTATACATCATACTGGACTGTTTTTGGTTGGGTTGTGAAAATCATATAGTGATAACAGACTACAGTGTCCCATAGCAGAGAAAAGTTTGTCATTTGCACCAAATTCAGAGACAGTGATCAAAAATAATGTTGTCTATGAGCTTCCTGTGTGAGGAGTGTTTGTCTTCATCATATGTCCTTTTCACTCTCAGCCTCTTTTTCTGTCCTCTTCTTTCAGTGCAGAATTAGATATTTTCCAAAATAAAGCATCTCTAGGAACTCGGATCCATGTTTCAGTTTTTCACTGTGGATTACCCTGTTTTCATTCCCTTTAGGTTTCTTAGTGGCTTTCCAATCTCCACCCATTTCAGGCAATATCTTTTTTTTCCAACTGTCCCCAACCCCTATCTGGAGCAAAGCCACTGACCTCACCTCCTGATATCTCCCTCTTTCTCATCCACTCGCCTTTACTCCCTGTCCTCTCAGCGAAGTGCTTGCTTCTGTTCTTGCAGAAATGCCTGTTTCTCCATTAGTTTTCTGAACAGTCCTTGCCTGTTGCCTAGCAGCTCTGTGTGCTGGCCACACTCGGCTATGCGCCGCTGGTCCAGTACAGCGACAGCATTCGCATTCTGAATGGTGGACAGACGGTGAGCGATGATCACGACTGTCCTCCCTGTTAATTGGGTGATAAGGGCAGGAAATAGTAAAACAGGAGAAACAAAGATTTAAAAAAAAAAAACCATATAACATAAGTGGAAACAATTTGAAAGAGAAAGACGGAAGAATTTACCTTCCATTAGACGCTCCAAGGCTTCCTGGACCAGGAACTCATTCTCAGCATCCAATGCACTGAGGACAGATGGTTGTTCAGGATTTTGTTCAACAAAATAACCTTAAAAAGAGTCTCTAGCCAGCACAATAAAGAGTAATAGTAGTTCTGTGCAGAGAAGTCAATAATGGCAAAAAGGATAAAGATAGTGCAAGTATTGTAAGTAAAGTAGTTTTGTTGGTTGATTTCTACACAGTTTTGTTAATAATCTCATAAGTGTCTCTCACCTGGTAGCCTCGTCTAAGAGCAGGATCTTAGGATTCTGTGGAGAGAGAACACAAACAGTGTTATCCATACTAATTCAAAGACAAAAGGAAAGCTGAGACTACACTCCTTTAAAACAATGAAAGAACAAAAATACTGTATACTGTACTGTATTTGGTATAGTCCTTTGCACTTACTATTAAACAACAAAATCATAAAGTATAAAAGAAGTCAGTTTTAAATCAACATGTTAGAATGTAAATAAAACTTGGAGATGGATAACAAATGTAGAAGACAGGTATGACTACAGCTGTGCTTTCTTCTTATGTGGATAAACAGTAAAATGACTACATTGTTGTACTCACCTTGAGAAGTGCTCTGGCTATGGCTATCCTCTGCTTCTGACCACCTGAGAAACAAACACACAACTTAACCATGTGCACACGTAAAGGCTATGTGTGTGTCTACTGTAACTGGCAGCCATGATAGGTAATACAACAGTGTTTTTATTACCTAGGCTTTTTACCATAATCGTACTATTGTATGTGAAAAATGTATACACAATACATGCAAATATAATATAATATAGCTGAGAAAACCTGAGTGAGAGTTTAGAGAAAGACTGGACCAGTAAGTGGTTTTGTCTTTTCTAAAAACTGTAGAAGAAACAGGTTTGTTTTTAATGCGAAACTACACTTATAATTTATAAATGAAAAAAACCAGCAAATTACATATTAAAAATGAATGCATTATTGAGCTGAAATAATTCTCTTTGATAAGCTAACTTTAAAATTAATAAATAAGCACTCTTCCCAACACTGAATATATATTTAAAACCATGTGGGAGTGATTACTAGATCAAAATCTACATACTATGTCAAAGGCTAAAAAAAAAAAAAATACATCTTCAATATCATCAACTCTGCTACAACTCGTGGATAGCTGCCTGTTGGACATACAAGGTTTCTTGAATTAACAGTGAAGTAGATGTTGTTATCAGACTCCTGTGTCTCACCTGACAACAGCACTCCTTTCTCCCCCACTACAGTGTCAAAGCCCTTAGGAAAAGCCTGGATGAAATTATAGGCGTTGGCCACTGTGGCTGCCCTATAGATGTCCTCTGTGGTCACAGCGTCAGGGTCCACTGCACCGTACGCTATATTATCTCTTATAGAGCAAGAAAACAACACAGGCTCCTGGGAGAGAGGTGCGAGGAGGAGAGGGAGGAGGAGAATGTGAGAAAGACAAAACAATCTTCACTTCGAGGCTCCTAATATTTGTGTTGTGTGTCTGCTCAGTTTATGTGCTGTGAGATGTGTTGTATAGGAACATAAACAAGTAATTAATCACCTGGCTGACAGTTCCAATGTGGCTCCTGAGCCAATAGGGATTCAGATCTCTGATGTCATGACCATCTATGTAGATAATACCTGGAGAAAAGAGATCACTCTTAGTGATAAAGCAACAGAGTTTTGTACTTTTAAGTTGGTCATCATCATTACTAAGCAGCGGTTGATATATCTGGTTAAAGGAGACGACAGAATGAGCTCAGTCTCACCATTATCCGGGTCGTACAGCCTGAGCAGCAGTGAGACCAGGGTTGACTTTCCAGACCCACTGGATCCCACCACAGCCATGATGCTACCAGCTGGGACCAGCAGACTGAGGTTCTGGAAGATTGGAGCCTCCTTACGGGACGGGTAGGCAAAGGAGACATCACAGAACTCCAGCCGACCCTTCAGCTGGTCTGGAGGAAGCACCAAGCCTTCTGTGAAGGAGCAGAGGAAGAGGGACAGATTATTATTTACTTTAACTTGCTTGGTTGGTTTAATACAGAAAGAAGACGATGAGGCAGAGGCTGTGAAATTACCCATCAAACACTTATATATATCTATAGGCAGGAAAAAAATAAAGTTAAAAAATGAATTATCTACAAATCTGCAGCAGTTATATTAAGAGTACGGTTGTTTTCTGGTCACATACATAATTAAGAAGTTTATGATGGGTTTCCAGGACAGAAACGGGTACTTGTCGATGTGAGGTAATACTCTATGTGTCTGCCAGTGTGTGTGTGTGTGTGCTGTGTGTGTGTGTGTGTGTGGTGTGTGAGTGAGTTGACAATTCAGTGGAAACTCAGGCTTTCTGTCCAGGAGCTCCCACAGTCTGGTTCCTGCACCAAAACCCTTCATCAGCTCAGAGTAGAATGAACTCAGACCTATCCATCAAGCAGAAAAAAAGTTAAAAGCCATCACACACACACACACACAGACACAGTGCACATAGATGTAAACAATACAGATGAGAGAATTCATAGAATATTAGGAAAGTGCCTGTTTGAGGCATTACCTGCAATACTGATGCCCACCCAGAAGGTGTACATGAGGAAGGACGAGAGCTCTCCCACAGTCATGTGCTGGCTGGCCATCAGAAGGCCTCCTTTGTAGAGCACGGACAGGATCATGATGTTACCACTAAGACCAGTCTGAAATACAGGCACACACGAGACGGTTATCTGATTACTACAACAACTGGCATCAGTGCCACTGCCTAACACAGAACTGATTATACTAATTACAGAACCTGCTGGAAAAAGGTAACTGGTGAGTCTAATCACCTATTTGTCTCTTGATATCTGTTAATATTGTTTACTTACTGTTATAACTACAGTTCATTGAGCGACACATTTCAATATAATTGATTACAGACACATTCACACACTGATACCCAGCAGGACAATATTTTCAATAATGATCAGCTGAGAAATTCATCAGCAGTTTCCAGTTTATTAGAGACACGTAGCTACATCTAGTCCAATACAACAGCCCTACAATAAATGATATCTTATCGTACAGTACTACATGTTTTTTTTGGACACAGTTTTTTGAAGGCTGTCCTTGTGGTTCTGATTAATTGCACTATAAATGCAATATTTTGTGTATACATTGCATACAGATGTCCAAGTGTTAAATACAGAAAGAGAAAAGCATGTTCAACAATGGTAAGCCTTGGCAAGTTGTGTCATAGAGTGGTTTCAACACTGTCTTGAACGGGTTAGTGTGGATTTACTTTAGTGGGGCTGTATGAGCTACTACTATCTATAGTCAGTGTATTACCTACAGCAGACGGCGGTTGGCACGCACCCAGTTTTCAACAAAAAGATATTTTAGGACCAGCAACTCCCTTATTCTGGAAGGTAAATTTTCTGTTTTTGTCAAAGGACTCTGGAGGCTTTGAGAGATGTAAGGCTTCAGTTTCATGTCGTAAAGGGCTGTCTGTCAGCAAGGTAAAGCAGTGGAAATATTCTAATTATAGTGTACACTTAAACTGATATTGATTTTTTTTAAGGTGGACCCTTTTTATAGGTACTCCTGTCTGCCTCTCTATACTGCTGTGCCAACCGGCGTCTACTGTAGGTACCTCACTGACTATGGATAGTAATCGCACCTCATACAACCCTGCTTTAATATATCCTAACAAACCTTTTAAAAGCACACAGATGGATTTATGTATGGTCTGACTTTGCATGGAGGATTGGATAAACCTTTTTTATGGTGAAACATCCTGAAGTCAGACACTGTGGTATTGTGACAAACCTGAAAAGCAGAAGCCTCTGTGCAACACGTAATTTCCTAACTGCGGGTTTGGTCGCTGACATTCTATCGCACAGGATAGAGGTGACCATGACATCTCTCCTGTCACGTCCTTGATGTCAGATCCTACAATGCTAAATATTGTTAATTTGTCATTTATGATCTATCCCAAACCAGAGCTCGAAATTAACTTCGTCCCACAACTGCCCCAAATTCTCCTTTCAGCTTTGCCAGACCTAACAACCATTTTTACAAATGAAAGGGTTTTTTTTTTCATTCTACATAATGAATATAGTTGAATAACTTTGTTTCAGTAACTTGCATCGCTTCATTGTCACATTGGCCACAGTCAGTTTTCATAATGCTTTTAATCATTGGTGGAGTTATTGTATCTTGTTTGATGGATGGATTGATGGGAATACACACATTTTGAACATTA